CGCCGCGGGCCCCTCTCCGCGCTGGGCCGCGAGCCCCGCACCCCACGCCTCCGCCGCCTCGCTCGGCCCGGAACTGGCTACCGCCAGCTCAGACCGCCGAGCCCAGCCACCTCCGGGGGCCCCCCGTGCTTGCCCTGCTAGCTCTTCTGCGGCCCAGAGGAGGAGCTAGAGCGGGGGCTCTCATGTCTGGCACCCGCGTCCACAGAGGCGGAAGTACCCGGGACTGCGGCGCGGGGCGAGGGGGCGTCACATCACGCCAACCTCCCCGCCTCCCGCCGGACACCTCATTCATTCATTCATTCTTTCCTCGAGTTCATTCAGCAAACGGAAACTGCACGCCCACTACGTGCCAGGCGCAGTTCTAGGCGGACCCTGCTTTATAGGCGCCGGCCGCAGCATCCCCTGGCGCTGTCTCCGAGATCGGAGTTGGAGGGTCTTGATCCCTGCAGGCTTCCAGGGGGATCCGCACCTAGCGACTGGCGGGGCTGCACGGCTCGGGGCTGTCGCCACCCTCCTCGACTCGGGGAGAGGCCTGGGAAGGGAGAGCGAGCCCTTTAAGAACGCTTTTTACAAGCGGGGTGGTGACAAACGCGGAGCGCAGCGCCACGTGACTTCTCCGGCGGCGCGGGTAGGAGCGAAGCGCTCCGGCTCAGCCGCGGTCTTTCTCCCAGCGCCCTCCTAGTGTACCAATTAGCTTCCGAGGTGGGCGGGCGTGCACTGCGCAGAGCACCAATCACCGGCGAAGGAGCCGGTGCGGGAGGGAGGCGGGGCCCGCCGCGGGTTCCACCCCGCGCGGGAAGTGGGCTGGACCCTCGCAAGCCCGGTGTGTCGGCTGGGTCGGCTGGCTAGGCAGAGGTGAATGGGCCCCAGGTAACCCTGGAACAAAACGGCTCGATGTAGCAGGACCTGCAGTGCCGTCCCTATCGAGCCGGGGTGGCCTTCCACCAAGGAGGGAGTGGTCTGCCTGGTCGGTTCTCCGCCTGCCCGGCTGGCGCCCTCGAGTCTTTGGGACTTAATTCACCCACTGTGTCTCAGCTGGTCAGCTCTGAGCCTCCTTTCCCCAACCCTCAACTGGAGGGAGTGTCGGGTCAGGGAGTGATAACGCTGTTTTGCTTCAGTGAGAATCACTGAAAGAGCAGTTCAGCTTTCAGCTGACCTCTGACCAGAAGGCACAAAAAGCAGCTCCAGCCCCTCGGTCTTCCGAGAGGGATGGCCTATCTGCGAGGTTCTGACTGCGCAGCAAGGCTCTGTGGCACAGTAGCAGGGTTTCTCTTGCCGCTGCTGCCTACATACATCCATGGGAACTGGATGCCCGGAGTGCTAAATCAGAGTCCACCCTCTGCCCTGGGTTGATCTCGAGTTGCTGGGCAGAGCCTGCTTTCCTGGGTCCTAGGAAGACCTTCCCAGGCCTGAGAGGCTGAGATCCAGATTCTTTCCTGCCGGTTGCTGATGCACTCTGCGACCGCAGTGTGGTTCTTACCTCCCAGCATGTCTCCCCGGTGAGGGAAGCGCTTGCCTGGACGGTGTCCAGCCAGTCTATGGATCCTTGCTTCCGTCCTCCGCGGCTGTACCCGCAGCTGGCATTCTGGGTGCTACCTGCCTGGGATGGAGGCAGCACTCAAGAAGGCCTGACCCGGATGCAGTGGAAAATGCCAATAATTTCAGCTACCTGGGAGGCTGAGGCAAAAGGATCATAAATTCAAGACCAGTATGGGCAGCGTAGGGACCTAGCAAGATCCCAGTACCACACACACACACACACAAAGTCGTTTGTCCAGTAAATCAGAGTGACCACCGTGAGGGTAGGCCAGAGTCACATAAGCAGGAGGCTCATGCTATCCTCAAGTGAGACTGGGCCATGTGCTCCCTATGCTGAGCTGTAACTGCTTCTGAGTGCCTAAAGAGGCCTGGGCACTGCCCTGATGGCTGACGACTGAGGGCTCAACTGAAAGGGCGCCTCCCAAGTGCCCCAGCAGTGCCCCCACCACCCTCGAGAAAGGAAAGGAGCCCTGCAGCCTCTCACATTAGCTTATGATGCCTCTTGACCCCCTCCCCTGTCCTGCAGGAGGACACGCAGGCAGGGAAGATCTGTGAGGATGGGTGGGTGGGGACAGAGCAGGCGCAGCAGGGATGTTACAAGAGCCGACGCTTGGATGAGTGCAGGAAAAGGCAGGAAATGTGGGGAGTGGGTGACTGTGGAAGCAGAGGGATGGCAGGACAGCTACCCTGGCCGAGGAATGTGCCAGCAGGGTCTCCATCACCCAGACTGGAGGGAAAGCCCAAAGTCTGGGTTCTGAGTGGAGACCTTGCCTCCATCTTGAACAGCTACTGTGGAGCTGCACTGTGGATAAAATAGGTAACAGCAGTGCTGCCCTGGGTGGGCTCAGGAATCCTTGCTGTCCGACTTTCTGGGCCCTGAGTTGGGCAGGAAATTGCCATGATCAAATCAAGAGGACAGAGCTGCCCCTGACCTGGGCTGGTCTTGCAGCTGTGACCCTCCCTCAAGGATGCTGGAGGAGGATACCTACCTGGGACAGGGTCTTTCTTGCCAGAAACCTGGTGTTCTGAGTGAGGACTTGGTATCAAAGACATTCTTTCTGTCCAGGAAGATGGCCTTTCCTGTCTTTCTGGTCCGAGACCCTTTGCCTGCAGCACCTAAGAGAAGTGCCCAGCTTGCTCGGGTCTCTGGGCATAGGAGAAGTGAGAAAAGGCCCCCAGAACAGGTCCCGAGTCCCCAAGAAGAAGCTGGTCTCAAAGGGGATAGCAGGTGGACATGAGCTCTCTGCGGGACATCCCACTCTCCCACACACCCCTAGGCCTTTGCATAATCTGCTCCCTCAGCCTGGACATTTTTCACCCTCAGCCTCTGGCTGCCTTCAGATCCCAGCTCAGATGTCACTCCCCAGGAGGCCTCCTCTGATCTTCCAATCTAGATGTGCTCCCCTGCTGCAGGCTCCCAGGACCCCTGCCCCTGTCCTTACTCCACATTCCAGCACAGCCCCTGTTGCATCCCGCAGCAGACAGGCCTCACTTCGGATGCCTGATGGCACGTCAGCACTCTGTTAAGCCTCTTTCCTCCTCTATCCCCTACCTCACCCCATTCACCCAATGCCAGGCCCAGGGCCAGACCCACAAGGCATGTTTGGAGTTGCCTTCTCTGCCTACATACATCCAACCAAGAGCCACACAGACAGGCTTTGCTGCCAGGGCACGGCCTGGTCAAGGTCTAGGCTGTTTTCTGGCCCTTGCTATTCCTCTGAGAGAAGCTGAGGTTCCCAAGGGTGTATGTAAGCCAGGGTACACATGCCGCAATCCCCATCCACATGGCTGGGTGACCAACTAGCTGTATCACCAAGAAGAGTAAGTAGCCTGGAAACACTTCTTTCTCCTCTGGTGTCTATGGATTCCTTAGAGATGGACCATCATGTTTCAAGTGCATACGCTAAAGGTGGGGAGAGGTCAGTTCCTTGCACTACTGGTCCTACAGGGGCTAGGACAAATGTAGCATGATACCAAAAGGACATCATTCTGATGGAGTCTATCTCCCCTCCCCCATGGCAGATGAGGAGGTGCCAGGCACTGCAGTCCATGGTGCCGCCTACTGGTGACTGAGCCAGCCCATGCCCAATGAAGCTCCCCCAGGCTGCCCATGGAGGCCAGCTGAGACTAGACTCACTCTGTTTGTCCTTGAACCTTGGGACAGCTTCTTGCCCAACCCTTGGTGTGGTGTCTTCCTTGGTTGGTGTCTAGACAGATGATGTCTAAGCCAGGCCAGGAGAACACTGTGAATGAGCTAGCAACTCTCTTGTCCAGTACAGAACTTGTGATTACACATATAAACCACACTTGCATATGCACATAAGTACATACAATGTACAGACCCACTTACAGATCCACATATGCTCACAGGCATATACCAGCATATGCAGAAACATGCAGACCTATGCATATGTGCAGAAACACACAGTTCATGTGTGCGTACATACTGGTATACACACCCACATTCAGGCCCTTGTGTGGGTACTTGTCACTCCTGTTGGAGGGGTGCCTACACAGAGGTCTTCCAAAGGGGTTGCTACCAGGCTTGTGGGAGCCATACTTCTCTCACCAATAGTTAGTCATCTGAGCTCACGCTCCCCTACTGGCTGTTGCTGGGATCTCTGCTCTGGGTGGAGCAGAGGTGAGGGACCCTTGCCTTCCCCACTGCAGGAGACTGCCAGGCTCTGGTTGGCAGCAGTATGACTAACCAATGCCTGTCTGGAAAGGGTGAGAGTGTAGGTCCCTGGGAAGCAAAGAGCCCTGGTGGAAGAGAGGGTCAGGCCCAAAGGCAGTGAAAGCCCAGAGTCTGGGAGTCACTCTCCAGGAGGAGAGTCTGGGGGTCCAGCTTGGAGAAGGCAGAGTAGGGGAGAAAAGCCAGGCCTGTCTTCTCATTCATTCTCAAACATTTCCTGAGTGCCTGTCCTATACCAGGGACTGTACAAGGTGATGAGGTAGGGATTCACACGGGGCCGGATCAGCCTAATTCCTCCCTCTCACAGCTCCCCACCCAGCAATGACAGAGCAGGCCTGTGGCCATCCTCTCCATGTGGGGTTCCCATGGCCACTCTCTAGAGTGTATTTCCCAATCATTTCCCAGCCTACAGCAGCCAGCCCAAGGATGGAAAATAGAGGACATGCATCTACCACTCTTCCTTGCTTTGTCACTGGCTGACATTATTAGTCACTTGCTGCACCTTTTCTTGCTGAACTATCCCCTGGCCTCAAAGTCTTTCCAGGCAGCTATGACCATATGACTGTGGGCACAGGAGATAAAATTGATTTGCTAAGGCTCACACAGCCTCTGACCCCCACATTGCCTCACTGTGACCACCTTCTACTTCCTACCCTGTGCTCTGGACACAGTGCCCCTGTGTCTGCCCTCTGAACTCACTTCCACCTTCTGAGGGGCCTCAGCCTCAGGAGGTCTTCCCTGCCTAATGGAAGAGACTGGCTCCCACCCAACCCCTGTGGGGCCCTGCGTCTTCCACCCTCTACCCACTTAAAGGCAGAGGGGTCTGTGCTGTGACATCACTTAGTGAGGCTCCCTATCACTGGAGTCCCAGTGTTCACAGTCACACAGAGCTCTGGGGCCAGGCCAGACCTCTCACATGACCCCAGCTTGCCCGCCATTCCAAGGTCTCCTGGGCACTCTCAGGAGGCATAGGGGCTGCCAGGCTGGTCACCCTGGATGTGTGGGTAATGCAAGCTCTGTTCACAGCTGACTCGTGTCTGGCATCCAGAAGGTCTGCGTTACCCTCACTCCATTGCAGCCCCTTGCTTTCGAATTCTCAGCCCTGTATTTGCCCCAATTCCCCAGAAGGCTGAGTAGAGCAGGGCTTGTCTGACCGTTCTACAGGTGGGAAAGGTAAGGCCTGGAAGGGAAGTGTCCTGCCCAAGGGCCTGGCTGTGGTCCAGGCTGTTACTTACCCACTGGGTCTGGGGTGAATCACGGTGGCCCAGGTGATGGGATGGAAACACATAAACATGGACAAATGGGAAGGATGGTCTGGGGGCAGGAACAAGTGGGAAGGACAGTCCGGCCTGACCCGGGCTCCCAGCTAGTAGTCCCTGCCCCCACATAGGCTGCCATGGGCTACTGGGAGGTGCACACCTGTCTCAGATCATGTTCACTTCTGGCCTTGCATCTGGACTTTGTCAGCCCTGAAAAGATGCCAAGGCCTTTGACAGACAAGGAAACCGAGGCCCATGGTCATAAATCAAATCAAGGCAGGAAGCTGGGTCCTAGGCTGAAAACTCTGGTTCTCTCCCCTAGCCCTGTGCTCTCGCTGGCTGTGGGCTCCCCCAGGCCCATCTATCCACAGAAGGCCCTTGCTCTGCCAGTGCTTGCTTGTCCCTGGGGAGGCCCAGCCCTGGAACTTGGGGGACAGGCAGCCGTTCCTCCTTATAAAGAGGGGCTACCAAATACCTTTTCCACTTCCCTGGCAAACTAATGCACCCCAGGACCCACAGTCAGAAACCACCTACCTTCTGCCACCAGTACAGAGCCCAGGCTTCTGACCTCTCCCTGGCACCCCTCACTGGCCTCTTTCCAGGGCCTCTGCCTCCATTCCTACAACCCACTGGTCACCACACAGCAGCTGCAGACACTGTTGGGTAGTCCCTGGTGTTAAGTCCAGGTTCCCTCTGCAGCCAGCATGGCTCTTGGTGACCTGGTCCTACCCCTCTTTTCCCCTCAGGGTGCTGGGTCCTGTTCCTCCACTCTCTCATTCCCCGGTCTCTGACAATTTCTGTCTCAGTCCCTCTGCGGGCCTTTCCCTCACTGGTCCTCGCTAGAATAGAACCTCTTCTCCCAGTTCTTTCCTTTGACCGCCTTCCTATCCTTCCCTCTGCCCCACCTGGGAAGTGGTGAGCCAGGAGTAAAATATCAGCCTATGACTAGCACTTTCTGTGTTGTCAGCCACAAGTGCATGGTCCTGTGACATGTTCACACGTGTTTAAACCTGCCCTTCTTCCTGCTTCTGTTCCCCACTTGGCCCTCAGCATGTCTTGCCTGATTTTCAAAGTCACTCAGTGAGAGTCCCGGAGCCAAAAGGCTGCCTGTCATGAAGAGGTAGATACCTGCTCTCACCACCTGGCCTCAGACTGGGCGCCTCTAGTTCCCCGTGTCAGAACCCTCCCTTCTCCTAGATGGTCCCTAGGGCCCAAGCCAGGGCTCCAGTCCCATAAACCAGCACCCTCAATCCTGAAGGAGGAGCTGGGTTGGCTGGGGGGCTCTGATTCAGCTGATACCCCATCTGCTGACACTGAGGTTACCCTAAGAGATCAGGGGAGGTCAGTCAACATCCCAGGGCATCATCAGGCTCTCCTTGGGCCCCAGAGGCAGTCGTTAGAAAGAGGGAAAGGAAACCCTCCCCTCAGAGGCTGGAGGTCACCTCTGGCTTCCCCTTCTCTAGAATCCCCAGCACCTTTGAGGCTGGTAGGGTGGGGCGGGCCAGGAATTCCCAGGACGCCCGGAGGCGGATGTGCCACGGCCCTTGGCTGAGCCTGCCTCAGTGGGCAGGTCTCTAAAGCTGTGAGGCCCAATTGCCTCATTAGCATCTGCCTGCTGCCTGGGCCTGCCTGGTCTCCTCCCTCCCAGCCTACACAGCCCCGTTTTGCAGGAATTCCTCCTATGAGGCACTGAGGGTGACAATGACAGTGACCACGATGAGGCTGGGGAAATGGCCCAGCAACCAGCTGGCCTGGCCAAGGCACAGGGTTGCTGGTTTGCAGCCTTGCAGCCCAGCCCCATCCCACGTGGCTCGGCTGCCTGGGTGGGCAGTGCCAGGACACAGTCTGGGGCACTCCGCTTTCCGGCCTGGCCCACTCAGCCCTACTCCTGTCACGGGCATGTGTTCCAAGGCTTTGAAGAGCCACACCCCTGAAAAGACTAGGGTCCTTGGCGGCGGTTCAGTGAGCCCTGAGCCTCAGGGCGCCTCCTGGGGCACGGTGAGGTGGGGACAGATAAGGGACCAGCTCTGCTGGGACCCCTGCCGTACTCCAGGCTCCCAGGGTGCTCCTGCCCTCTCTCCTCAGAGGACAGCACTGCCCTGACCCCAGTCCTCTGGCTCAGCACCTGCGCAGTGGGGTGAGCGCTGTTGAGGCATTGGGCTGGTGCTGGAGCCCTTCCGAGACCTGGACACACCGGCTGCCCTGGACCCTGGGAAAGACACAGCTCACAGTCTGCTGGGACTTGGTGGCTCCTGGTGGGGCCCCAGCTCTTTGGCTTTAATCTCCCCAGTTATGGCATGGGCAGAACCTTCTGCCTATCCTCACCCCCACAGATAGCCATGCAGGTCGACATTGGGGAGCCTGACCAGGACATCTGGTTCTGCGTAATCCCATTCCACCCCAGCCTCCCCT